TGATTTCTATCCTATCAGCGCCTATTTTTCGGACCGCATTCGTGCATCTTCCTGTGAATGTGATCCTTTTCCCTCCTCATGACCAGAGTGTAACAGCAGTTCCACTGAAGCCAGTCTCAGGTATCCTACCTGTGTTCAATGCGTTTCGCGGATTCCAAGAACATCCTGGTTGTATCTTTTCACTTCTACAGCAAATTGAAATAGTCTTTCCGTCTCACACAATGTTGGAAAGTTCCATGTACCTTGTAGAATGAATTCGCTGGTTGTCAGAAGAGGCATCGGCTACGTGACATCCGAGGGAACTCGGCTTTTATCAAGCGACCAAAAAATTCGTCTTCCAACTCCTAGTGCAGTGCTGAAAAGGTTTGATTATTTGTTTGCTAACATAAATAATCTCACTCCATTCAGTTTTTGTAATCTGGCATAATCAATACATTTATTAGATTATACAATAATGAACGATAATGCAGAGTTATGTACACCGTTTATTTTCCTTTGCAAACTGTGATCGACTAAACATTAGCATGATGCGATCCCTGAATAACGAAGATCAAGACAACATCATTCGAAGTAGCGTGTGAAGTTTGAAAATACAAACTTCTCAGTGTCGGAGCAGTAATGTTAGAATGTAGGATACTACTATTTCGCTGTGATTTCTTCCAGTTGACTAATTCTGTAATGCTTGCCAAAATTATCGCTAGCCATTCTGTGTCCAATCGAATTTCCTCTCCTTCTGATGATGTTGAGTAATTTGTTGCAGACAGAATTTTGGGCAGCGATAATCAACTCGACCACGTACATTGAGCAACAGCAATAGCAGCACAGAAAGACACAAGCGAACAAATGAAGCCAGCACAGCTGAAAATAGAATGATCATTGCCAGTGATAAGAAAGCTGGAAAAAGCGAAACCTGCAATCACCGGCATCTTTTGTGCACACGGTTTGCATACGCAATGCAGCTCACTCTGTCGCTTATAGTAGGAAAGATAATTATGAAGAATCGAAGTGGCCATATGTGACTGAATATGCCGAAATTCATCTTTTGATTGAATTCAAATGTCTGCAGGAAATCCAGGTAGAGAAATGTTCGCAGATCGGTATGTGAAATGCTCCGCTCCTGCGGTGGATTCGATCTCAACACCGTTAACAATCAACTGGTAGATGCACATTGCAAGACAGTTTCAGTTTATCAGTAGTATAACACATACATAAAACAGCTAGCCATACAAAGCAATTCATAAACTGTCAATGTTCACACTAAGCACGAATGGGCAAAGATTCTGAAGAACTAAACTTTGACAAAGATTTTGATCTACAGAATGTAGGAAAATAGGTGTACTGATTTCGTGCTCTTATGACTGTTCATTGACATTTTTTATCGCTCTTGTTTAGGAAATTACGAGTGAACCTCTTTCACGAGGTAGTTACTCAGATAAGCTTATAATACAATATCTCGTTAGGAAGTGAAACCTGTACAAGGTCACGAACAGTCATGACAACCGGTGGGATACATCACACCACTTCCGCGACTTTGTGATTCTAGGCTTCTTTACGTTTGTGGAATATCTTAATTATTGTTTTGCTCTGAGCTCCATAATTTTACGCCTCTCTGCATTACACTGTCTGTACTGCCTATGTAGTAATCTGAAGCAACGCATTACATTTCATGATTGTCATTTTGGTAAAATCCTAATATTTCAAGTAGGTAGGCCAACAAATATGATGACTGACAATCTGTAGACCCTTAGTTGAAACTAAATTATATCACGTCAAGCTGTTTCGACGAATTCAAAGTAAAAAAGAGTTGGAAATATTTGTAAGTGATTGACTCTACAATACGCAGTAATTCGGACATTTATCAATCACAGCCTACTAAATGCACAACATTATCAATAACAGCCAACCGAATGCACAATATTGTGATAGAATGCATCATGTTGTAGTGCATATTGCTCAACCTGCCGTTTGTCCAAACTTATCATCGTGCTCAGTTCCGACGTAAACTTGTTTGTCTACACAACCCATATTTCTGCCACGCAGAATCGATATACTCAACTAATCAAACACAGTCTACTTCTTGGTAGTAACCTTCTTAGTATTTAACCCACGTATCTTGAAACAATTCTGTACAGAGCAACATCTAAAACAGGGTACGTTTACTACGTTTTCTTAAAACTTACACTTGTCATCTAGTTTGTTGGATTACCCCACAAATTTATGTTACTGTCTGTGCCACACATACTCAGTCACAATCATACCCACACAAAGTGTAACCACTTTTCACATTTACATCCAATCATTTTCAAGAGATGTTGAGTTGACTGAATGCCAGCAGTTACTTTCATTGGATAAACCATTATGTCTGTATGTAAAAACACAACATATTTTAGGCTAGCAAACGTATATAAATAGGAACAGTAAAAGAATGAAGCAAACATTGTGTATTCCAAATCACTGATCTGGTTCGAGTTCATCACACATCAAGTAACTATCCGAAATTATGAACAGAATCGGCGGTGTCACGCATTTTATTAAAATCAACAATAGCCAACAAAGGAGCACCAACAAACAGAAGGCTGTTGTGGAAAATCGTAAGGATGAACATTCAACATTTTCAACAAAATTTTAACAGAGATATCGAGTACAATGAATCATTCACCAAAGTCACTTGTGAATAATTTTCCGTCAGATAGTCGTCAAGTCCCCAGTGAAGATCTGATAAACTCAGACAAAAATAAATCTTGTCTCAAGAGATTTATTTCAAGGAGAGTGTTAATAGTGTTAGCGATTGTATTATCCTGTGTTTTGGTAGCATGTCTTACTTACACATTTTATGGACGAAAATATCCATAGGTACAAAGAGAGCTAGTCGATGGAATTTATTGAACGATAACAGTTTTCCTTCTCTGTCTACTCTAAATAATTCCCTTCCTCTTGCTTTAGACTGACCTCACTTGCGAAACTCTAGAACAATGTCCGAATTCTCAGATGTACACAGACGAAAGTGTAATATTTGTTAAAGCTGTTAAAGGCGAAATAGAAAAGTGGATTAAAAATAGTGGGAAAGATATGTAAGTTTCTTCATGGTCATTATTATGATTGATTTTTGGCAATTAAATCTAGTAAGCGGATGAGACAAATTTGCAAAGTTTACTAATACTGCTACAACTTGATGACAGATTAAAATAAATAAAATTTGTTTTGTTGTTCCGATCAGAAGCATGTTGCCCCGTAAGCTGGTCAATATTTGAGCAAACATACAATCTACTCTATATGAATTATGTTGATTCTGATTATTAATCTGAGAATTTCAACTGATGAATTCAAAGAATAATGTAAACATTTGTCTTCATTCATCTGATTAGTAGGAATCATAATTTATTCCACAAATAACTTCTTTTTCGCGTAATGAGATTCTGAATGGCTTATTTCCACACTTGAAATGACAAACTGTTCTTCATTCGATCTCTGTTAGACAAATAAGACTTTAGGTCCAGTGTGTGGATATCTGAGTCATGAACCGTTGAGACAGATAACAACGATGTTGATGTCTGATTTCAGTTAATTCATGAATTTTCTTAATAATATTTGGTAGGCTCATCAACTGATATGCTTAAAACTATTAGGAAATCACCTCAGTCGATAAACGAGAACGAGAGAATGACGCACTGACACGATAGGCTACTCTAATCCGGTGCCCCGTCTAACTCTAGAAGTCATTATACGGAGTAGAATTTGTATTCCCAAAACACAAAGAAAATTGTATAACCTCAAGCACACAAATCGAGTTTATTCACACATCATAAAAACGTTCTTGTAAG